GCGTCCGAAAACCCAGCAACCACAAATCCTTGACTAAATTCATTTGCAGTTATGGTTTTAATTTTAGGCAATTACTCGCATTTTTTCATTCTCTAGCTTGCAATGTGTCTTTCCTAACCTTTATTTTAACATTAATGTTTGTTTGTTTGCTTTCAATTCTCTGCGCATTATGAATCAGTGCTGCTGTGTGTAGTGTCTTGTTTGTGGGGGTGTTTTTCAAATGGATTTTTCTAACTCTGAAATTGATGCTCAGCTCTTAGAGCAGTTCAGATGTCTGGGAACGGATGATCGTGATGAATTAGTTAAGAATTTTAACCACGTTGTTGGCGAAAATGTTTCGTCAGGCATTTGTCACTTCTTCTTGGATCTAGCAAACTGGTAAACTTATTTTTTTTAACTATTGCTTTTTAGGAATCTGCAAAAGGCCATCGGTGCATATTTCGATTTTAATTTTGACGTAAACACTGATACTTCCCACTCTTCGGCCCCCTCGTTTCGCATTCAGCCGCTCTTATTTGATGCGAGGTTCCATCCTTCTCCACATTCCTTTTTTAATCAGACATCTCCGCTGATTTGGTGTGTGCAAAATTCTGGTACTGCTTCATGGCCTGAAGGAACTTATCTCACTGTTGAGGCAATTGTGTTATTATATTTTATTGTTTAGACTGCCCCTGATTTAGCAACCATACCCCTCTGTGATAAATCAGTTGTGTGGCTACCTCTGCCATCTGGTTACCGAAAACCGGTATCTGAGCTTTCTCCTGGTAGTTATGCACATCTTGTTGTTGATGTACAACCCCCGCCTGAAGATATATGTTCGAGAGCTTTATCCACAAACACTCCAGTAATCGGTGCTTTAAAACTCTGTCTGCCTAGTGGGGCTCGTTTTGGAGGTAAGTCTTTTGTTAAAGCTAAGCCACTTGTCGAACCTCGTCGTCGAGTAAAGTGCTCTTGCTACCGAAGCGTTCGTGCCCTCATTTATCCTTGATGTCGACTCATTTCAGAACTGCTATATTGCTCCCTCATCCCACAGTTGACAACTGGTTCCATTTTACTCCGTGCCGGTACGCCCGTTACGCCCATCTTGCCTCCTGAACCTCAAGGCGTTTACGTACGTTCTATTGAATTGGTTTTCAAATTTCTTTTCGAGGTTGGTGAGGTTACTTCTTTATTGCCGTATTCTTTCATTAGAATTACACCGTACAGCATACTTATACAGCATTTCGTTGGCTCTTATTTGTACATATTGGTGGAAAGGTTTTCTTACTTGTCCGTTACTAGGGGGAATCCTCGTTTCAGCAGCCGATGGATGAGGACAAGTAAATTTACTGAGCGAGCGGATCTTTATTCTTGAAACCAGGCAGCCTTCAGTTTAACTTATCTTTGATCCAAGCTATTGGAATCAGTATTTCTTTTTCGGCCATTGATAAATGATCTCTGCATCCCTGTGTTACCCTTCGGAGCTTCTGGTATTTTGTTACAAATGTAGAGCATAAAGACTTATGCAAATATTTCTCCATTTTTACGCCTTTAAAAATGCGTTCTGAAACTGCTTTTGAATGCTATGGATGGAACGCAAAAACTAGGATCACTCGCATGACTAGCGAGGGGGCTTTTCTTGGTATTTCCTTGGTATATCGTTGGTTTGATGAACTGACTTTTAATGCTTCTGCGGAGGTCATCGTCGCTAGTCCCTCAGCTTAAAAATGTCATCTAGTAGGCTGTACAGTAACATCTACCCAACTGCGTTACTATGTTGGCAAGACTTATGTGCAGATATTTTGCGTGAAGAATGAACAAAAAGAATTCGGTATCTGATGGAGAAATCATAGAGCTAGCCTTTGATGTTGGTGACGTTGCTTGCATTCATCAGTTCAGATTAGCTGCGCTCAATTGTTGTTATGATGTCACGGTCGATGCGTTTTGGCACTGTAACGTTGCAGCCGCACGCAGCTCAATTTCCTTCCCGGAATATAACTATATCCAGTAGGTATTGTGGAATGTTTGTAGTTCGGTGGTTCACGTGCCCAGCTGTACTCCTGGCATGTATCAAAGGGGTGATAAGTTAGTCGAATTAACTAAGCACGTTCAGCGCTAGGTCTCATGATGTACAGTAGGATTATAGGATTGATTGACAACGCGTTGCTGATATTTATTTGGTTGAACCATTACAGTGTAAGGTGATGTACTTTCAGGTGGTTTAAATACAAGGATTTAGGTGTTGCAAAGTGGGAAGTGACTCAAAGGCCCCACTTAAAATGAGGAGACATAAAAGACAGGCGAGGTTTTATCGCGAAACGTCATGAAGGACGGTAACGTCATCGATATTGGAAGGGGTTCCCACTGTACCTATTCACAATGAAGTTGCTAGAAGCAAATGAACAAATTCAGGGGTTCAAATGCTAAGAGCTAGGTCGTGTCGTGTGCAAGATTGATTATTGTAACAACACAGAAGAGCTGAAAGGATGCAAGCAAAAATAGGGCCTGCAACGTGCCGACACTTCCCTAAAGGGAAAGGACAGGATCGTAGCTAATGGCGCGGTCTAGATGGAAGCTCACTACGCTAGTGCAAATGGCTACCCACTTGATTATAACTGAAACCAGTAGTCAGACAGTATTGTACGCGTGCATGTCCTAAGAACATGTGCAGCCGAGAAATTCCGCAATCAGATATCAAATTACTACATTCATAGAGCCCGCCATGGTGAATCCAGCTTAGCGTGTGGACAACCATCTATTAGGCAGATACGGGGTCAATAATACTTAGTGAAGGTGAGAGTATACTTGGTTTTAAGGTTCGTGCTACTACATGTTGACTACAACATCTCGAGTTTTGTATCATTTGTGATATGCATCGTAGGTGGAAAAAATTACTGACCTCGTGCCTCCAACAGCTAAATGCTTATGCGTATTGGATTCGTAACAAAAGCCATTCACTATCGAAGGAACATAAATTTGTTATGGTGAAGTAAACTGAAAGTCGAGAGTACTATTTTCATGTGTCTGATTACCCGTATGTCTGAAGGCTATCCTTACGTTCCCCTTACTCGCGTGCGCGAGTAATTTGCAATTTGCTGATGCTTAGGTGTGTAGCGTCTCAAAACTTCCCATAGAGCGGGAGATTGCAGTGAGGCTGGATACATGCACTCCGAAGGGAACAGAGCGAATAGATTTGAGCTAGCCCTGAAGGCCAGCCCACCAGTACAAGGGTCAGACAAATCTTAAAGTGATCGCCTAGTGTCAGGTAGTCAAAAACAAAGCGTTACAAGGTGTACCATGTTAATGGCCAGAAAGGCCAAGTTTGTGCGAAGAGCTTTCGAATTGTTTGAACACACTTTCACCCAAATGTACAATTGCTCCTCAACTTTTCCTCTGCTCGGGGCTTTAGTTGTTGATGCTGGAAGCGGTACCAGGAGTGCACAGGCTTGTTTTTTGCTTTTGATGGCCTAGCTTTTACAATCACACATCAAATGTATGACCTGTTACTACTCTTGATGGCATTTGCTAGTGTAATGGTGAAGATTACCTCTTCTACAAAGGTCTAACTCCGATTGGTTCTCATTATAAGTTGCATTGAAGACCGCCGACTTATCACTTATTGTTGCTGTCGCTTGTAGTTAGTCTAGTGTAGTTAATGTGTGCGCAGTAGTAGAATGAAACAAATAAGCTGTTATTGTACACCAGATCAAGTCGACTGTAATTTAACTACAGGGAAGATTTTGTGCGAACCTGGCCAACAATATTGTCTCTTAACCATTAAACAACTTGATGACCATTCTAACCGGACACAGATACAGGGTTGCTGGTCCTGGCCTCGCGTAAGGAAGGATCAATTATCTTATTTTAGGAAAATGATTTCGTTTCTGAATCAAACATCTGCTACATTGCCTCGAAGAGGGATGGGTACATTACCTGTTTTTGCAAGGGTGATTCATGTAATGTGCCTAACATTCCGATGAAGCAAGGTATGTATAGGTCACGGCCACCGTATACGATATTTTAATCCGTGGTTTGGTTGGTACTTTTCACTTGTGCGGCTGTGTTTTTGGCGCTTGGCATCGGTGGTCGTTGTTTTGTTAAATCTGATTTCCCTTTCAGGTGATCCTGTCCACTCCGATTCAGGCAACCGTTCTGTCGGAAATCACAGTTCTACCAGTAAGATAGGTGTTCGGGCATCGTTCTCCAATAACCCAACATTCTTCTATGCGATCGCGTTGCCTCTTCTTCTTTTGGTTCTTTTGATTTTCATCTTCATTTTCCTTTTGTGCCGCCGATTTAAGACTTCGGCTCATCCACTTGGAGGTCCCGCCGTTGGAGGCAGCTCTAAGTTTAGTACCGACAAACACAAATCCTTTCTTTGTCTAAAGTCCTTTCCCTCGTCCTTGAGGTTCTGTTTTTCGGCGAGCAGGTCGAAAGATGGGGAGCACCAGTTTTGTGTTTCTGGAAACATTGGGTGTCGTTCTTGTCCGTTGAATGGAACTCCCTGTGTTTATTGCGGCAACGGATTTCTAACCCACATAGATGGCTCCCCACCCATGCCACAGTTGGTTCGTCCTGTTCTTGGGGGTGGCTGGCTTGCTGAGGATGAAATCGAAGAGGTACCTCTTTACGCGTCCCATTGCATTTGTTTACTTGGTCTTCACTTTTCTTTGCTATTGGTAAAATGAGGTTTTTCAGCCGATTACTTCGCATACTTTTGGATTTTTCACTAACACAGTCAACTGCTTAAACCGTTCTATTTTAACTTCTGATCTAGCGGATCTTATCTTGAACTTATTGTCATTGTTTTCTTTGCCGTTGACGGTGCGTCACTACATTATCTTAGCTTTCGAGGATATGTACCAAGGTGAAACGATGCTCTCGCGGTCGCTTTGGCGAGGTATGGTTGGGTCGAATGACTGAAGTTTCATCTGGTCGGCCTACCTCTCGCGAAGTAGCAATCAAAGTGTTTCCTGAGGCAGAAAGGAGGAGCTGGGAAACTGAATTGGAACTATATCGGCTTCCACTTTTGAAACATCCAAATATCCTACATTACATTGGTATTGATAAGGTACGTGGCCCTGTGCTAACCTTTCACATTGATTCTTGCCTCCATTATTTGCTTGTATTCTAGGTCTGCTTGGTATTTTTTCGATTATATTCATGGTCATTGTTTTTGCGATCCCGAATTCGTAGGCGCTCGCACCTTTATATTTCCATTATCCATTTGTGTGTACACCCATGACTGAAGGCCGCATAGTGCTATCGGTGACGATGACAATGCTTGTAAGACTGTAACTCTGATGCAACACGGCTGAAAAAGAGGGTGTACACGTTAATTCACACGCTCTTTGCTGACGTCAGCTTGGT